AAAAAAAGTGTTATAGTATATCAATTTCAAATTTCAGCACCTTAATTCAAATGCAAGATAAATAAAGTTTTCACCAGTTAGTTACTTTTTAATGTAAAATAAATTTTGAATTCATATTCATATTTACATTTTCGTAAACACCTCATCACTTTAATTGATCCAAATTTGAATTTTTAAAACACTAACTCAATCCAATTTATCAAAATCTGAATTTTTATGTATACTTAGTCAAAATCATGAAACCAAAAATGATATTTCCTATATATTAACACACAAACAAACTCAAAAATATCAAATTCATAGTTACAAAATATTGCAATAGTTCAAATATATACAAAAATTTCATAAATATTGATATTAGCTTAATTGTTTTCCTTTTACTGAATAATTTTGAAATCTATAATCTATTTTTGAATAATCAACCAAATTTTGAAATACTTGAATCAAAATTCAGAAATTACTGACCTGTAGATTTCTGTAGATAATTTTACAAATTTGAGAATAAAATACACAAAATCCTTTGAAAAAACTAGCTGAATGAGTTTTTGATTTATAGTTTTGCTATGTGGAAAGAATTTCTGTTTTGATTTTTGACTGTTGATAGTTTTTGATGGTTTGTGTCTTCCGCTTTGGACCTTTTCTTCAATTTCAATTTGATGTTTTGATGAATAACGTATAACATACGATTCTAGTATATAAGTTGATGTATTTACTTTTCAGCCCCCATGTTTAGACTGAATCTTCAAAATATCCCTACTTTTAGAGGTATATATGTGTAAGTTGCTCTTATATATATACTAGTCTATCACCCGTGCAATGCACGGGCAATGTGATTTCGAAGGCAATGTTAGCATTCCAAAAAATATATATTTCCCTCCNTTCCAAAAAATATATATTTCCCTCCTTTTTTGGTAGCTTCTTCTTAAACATTGAATGCATAATATAGCATTTTTTCACACTTAAAAGTCAAATATTTGGACGAGCTCTACTAAAATTATGCAATACAAAAACAACAAAATTAAAACACCTAATCTAATTGACTTAATTGAGAACTTTGTCTAACTCAACCAAATTAGACAAGCTTGAAGTGAATTTCCAAACTTTGAATCTACTGGTAAAGCCCACATTTATATTGTAAGACATTGGAAAATTTTTTTAGTACTACAATGATGTGGATATTCAGCTGTGTTGAACCAATCAATTTTAACGGACAATGCAATATGAAAAATTTACCAAAATCCAATAGTAGAGTCAGTAATGATTTCAAATCTACCTAAAAAAAATATTATAACTGAGATAGATGTTATTGAATTTGAATAGTTTGAGCTTTAACCAAATAATCAACCAATCAGTAATAAACATATTACTGATTTTGTATACGAAAATTATGATCAGAGTAGTTTAGATCTTTAGTAGTAAGTTAATATTAATTGAACTTATACAGAAAATAACATAAGAACATTGTGTGCCTAAATTAGAAAGTTGCTTGATCTGCACTGAACCCCTCATAGAACGTTCTCTCTTTGCAATGATCGTGCAAGTAATCTGCAACACATACACAAAATTTAGGCCGTTGAATTCAAAAAGCAAACATTGCAAACCACAAGTAAAATGGTAAAACTGGAAGATACTATGAAAAAAATTCTAGACATAACGTTGTGACTTCCTGGAGCTTGTGCACCATGAAAAACCACTCCAATCTGGAAGGCTTGAACTAATGGGGTATTACCTCAAAGACCTGGTACCAACATTACTGATCGTTGTCGAAACAAGTATGGCCAAAATTTAGCAATTCCATCCGCGATTAACCAACAATCATCAAATTTAGTTGACAGCATTGTTGGAGAGGCTGGAATATGACTGAGAGATGAAAATTATGACCATGCATGAATCAGAAATGCAATAATTGAAATTAGTCTATTCTTCCATCAAAATTTTCAATTTCACGTATATAGAGGCTATTGTCATCCAGATATACAAACTAAACCAAATCAAAAAAAAAAGTTCACGTTGACCTACTCATTTCACACATGAACTAAGTTTAGGCTCAGCTGGACCTCATTTCAAGTTATGCAGTTGAAATCAGTATACGAATCTAGAAATACAAACAAGAAGAGAACTGTAAATATTCCCAAATCAACCAAGTAATCTTCAAATATATCTACAACAGCTTCCTCTAATCTTTATGAAAGCATTAAAAGTAAAAAATCAAACGAAAACTTAAGCTTGCGAAAAAAAAAAGACAAGACAATTTAGAACAAATAAAATTATTACGCAACACAATAATTGACCCGACCAATGGCACCAAAAAACACCGGTGGGAGAATTTGAATGCAACCACGTGCATGAAAGTGAAAAGTTAATATCATATCATATGACTTTAATATAAATTCATGTGAAAAATGATTAAGCTTACATTTAAACTTGTCTTGCTAGTAATCAGCATTTTCAATTGTAGTCAAATGAAGGGTCATATCTGGGAGGAGTTCATCTTTCACCTGAAACAAAACATGGTACAAAAATAAAAATCTTTACATATTAAATTTGACAGGTCTAAAGAATTATTTTATCTATGTGCTGCTCGTTAGAATGAGAAACCAATCCCATAAGTGGGAACTAAGTTGTAAAACATGAGTCTGAAAGATGAAAGGAAACATACCAGTCACTTGGCACGAGTATACATGACAGTGTTTAACATGTTTCCAAAGACTAAAAAATATTCTATCCACTCAAATAATTATATTGGCTTAAGCAAGTAGTAGCTCAATCTCTGCAACCCTTAAAAACTGTTATTACTGCAATGATAAAATTAGGAGAATTGATCCCATAAGACTTTTCAACTACGAAGTATAAAGAAGAACAAACTAAGAACATGTTTGAGCTACATTTTATTGTAAAAATACATTTTTGAATAGTATATTGATAGAGAATGTATGATTAAAAAGTAAGAAAATTTTTTGAGTTTGTGTGTAATATTATTTTATTGAAAAATGTGTTGTTAAACAAAAGAGAAAAATGTATTTTAAAAATAATGAGAATCAAACGAGATCTAAGTCTCATTCCCAATGAATTCAGTGGTAACAAATATTTGAATAAGCAACTACAAGTAAGCAAAGGGGCCTACTAAGAGTTTTGAAGCATTGATTTCTTCTTTCCAAAATGAAACATATATGCAAAAATATTTCAACCATCATACATAAGAGAACGATATAATCTTGGTTTCCCTTTTCATTAATAACAAAATATTCCGAATGATGGGTCACATTTCTAGGAAGAGAGTACTTCTTTGAATTTTATTTTGTCCCTTATATCAGAATTAAAGGAGACAGCCATTAGCAAGAAATAAAGAATAAGTTCAGCGCCAATAGCCCTTTCATCAGCCCAGGTAAAGTACTCTATGTTGACGAAAAGACTGTAAATGTACATTGACCAGATCCGAAAATTCAAGACCTAATCACTTCAGTGATAAATAATGCCTGAAATGAACCAATTACATGTTTAGTATTGCTAAAAAAGCAAGATTTACAGAGCTGCACATAACTCCACTAAAACTAATAAATGGATTATCCACAAATCTATTAGAAATTTAGAACTTCAAATAAAGTAAATTAATTTCACATTTAATTTTCTTCATTTTTATATCTCTGCTTTACTGTAAATTGCAGCTAACTGAAGCTTATTTGAGCTTCGCTTTTGACATCCCAAGAAGATAAACTTTGATTCAAAAGCATTATAAATGAAACACTTTGTGACAATCAAAAGCATCAAAGAAAGTCGGCTAAGTTTCTTCCAAGTATTATCATATTAAAAAAAAAGAAACATCCTTCACAAGAAGTGGCTATTAGCTAGGATGATTAAATTGCAACCTATAACTCATTTACAATGAGATTGTTGGCCTGAAGATTGAGATCCCAGTAAATGTTTTTTTATTTAAGGAATAATTAAAGAATTATGATACAATAGTTATCAGTATACCTTACAATATTTGAGATAACATTGGACCACAATACACAGATTGGAAGCTTTTAAAAGCTCATTACAATATGAACAAACATGTACGTATGAACTCACATACACGAATATCAAAAAACTATCGATAGAAAGATTGATGAATCCAAATTTGAATCTTTTTTAATATAAATATAAAAAGCACCTAGCATTAAAACAATATCATTATAGGCCATCCCAACTACTCTCAAAATATAGAGCCATAAATGTTTCAATAAATCAAGGGAAAAATATAAATCCAGACAACATGACAATGCTGGCAGTTTTTCCAGAAAGTAAAATCAAACCCTTACCTCTAGTCCCATCTATCGGTTGTACACTTGGTGACTCTCTAAGAGGCGGAAGAGGTGCAGATATCACAATATTCTGCAAGTCAAACATTGATGAAGCTTCATACTCCATGCTCACATAGGTTTCATTCCCAGAAACAGAAGGCCAGCAGTTAACTGCCAAAATAATAATAATAATAATAATAAAAGGAAATAGATCAATGACAAAGCTACAAAAAACTAATACCCTATTTTTTGCTTTTTTTGTTTCAAAGGTGGCAGGTGGGAAGCAACAAACACCAAGCTCACTTGATAATGGCACAAGTGACTCATCTGCATTTTGCATTCTCCACTTCAAGAGACCAACACCATCACCACTGGGAAATGGCCAATTTGTATCATTGAGACCCAAAATATTTTCATTGGAAAACAATTCCTTGTTGATATTGGGGTGGGTCTTATATAAAATTCCTGGATTACCACCACTTTCAATCTGAATACAAGTCAATATAAGAATGACCTATTAGATAAATAACCCGAACAAGAATAAAGAAACAAAGCATTAAGCGTAATTACACACATTGCTAAGTACATAAGAAGAAGTAATTGAGGAATGAAAAGAGTGTGTTGATTTCTCTTCATCAATTTTTTCTTCAAAATTTTCATTATCTTTTCCATGGCCATAGTAGCAATGCAATACATCAGTGTTTCTAGCTTGAAAAAGAAAAATATTGAGCTCTCAATACATTGTTTTTGAAGCATCAATATAATAAATGACATCACAACAAACTGCTGGTGTAATTTTTCAGATTTTTACAAGTAAAATTGAAGTACAAAGCAGAGAAATATCATCCAGCCCATACCTTGAGTCTTTCATGAGCCTCATTCACTATCTTTCCATCTTTCTTCTTTCTCCAATTATGGCCATCTTCCGGAAGTACCTCAACACTTTCCAGTCAAAAAGAAAAAGAGAACCACCAGAAAGTAGATGAGAAAATTATTATAATTTTGTCAAGCCTACGTAATACATGTAAAAGAGAGATATTTTGCACAAAGACAAAAGGCATACCTGGCCTCTGTTGCAAGTTTAAGGACATATTTATTGAACCAGTTAATCAATTGTATAAACCAAACAACTATATGAAGGCCAGGTGGACTCTGCTGAAAGTTAAAAAAATATGTATAAATTTTTTTAAAAAAATCTGAAGAATAACAGAATGCAAAAGAGGGCTTTCAGGTTAGTACTGTAGCTTATTGTGAGTATGTTCAGCCTCTGGTATGAGATGCATCTTTAATGAATTAGAATTGAGGAGTAAATAATGTGCAAGTGATAGTTAAAATGAAATGAATTTAAGAAGACTATTTTTTAAAACAAGTTTTATATATTAGTGACAGCCACTGTGCAATTAGCGTTCTGTGTCACTTTAGAGTATTTACATTGGTAACAATAAAAAAGATACCGACATATTTAATGCAACCTTTTCAGGCAATTGTTATAGAATCTAAAGTTAGATGTGGAAAAACCATTTTGTATTTGTAGATTCATTTATTATAAACATTTTCTCATCTATGTCAACATATAGTTTTATTTCTTTACAAATATTTCACAATATTAATGAGTTATGAAAATTTAAACTGCTAACATGTAATCCAATTTAAACTATTTGATAACATGAGTTATATTTTATATTCTTTTAGATGTTTGAAGTTAGGTTCGGCTGCATGTGTAGAATTTCTGTCAGAATT